AACTGGTCAGTGTACTCCTTGATGGAGGCATTCGTTGGCGTGTTAAGGAAGTCGTGATTTCCGCCAAGCAACACTAATGGAATTTCCTTTCGAAGTGAGGTGAGGGCATTTTTGAAATCATTTAACTGCTTGCTTCGGTTGTTGTGTGGATCTTGCGGCATATCATTAACTAGATCACCGCAAATAGTCACAAACTTTGGAATAGGGTTAAGAGCGTTCCATTCTGTGATTGCATCTTTAAAAATCGCCAAATCTTCCGACCAAACACCACCACCAGTAAAATTGTTTTTGAAGAAATCAATTAATCCAAACTGTGTATCAGCTCCTTGAACAAATGTAAACGGGCCTGACCAATGAGTGTTGTTGTTTACATCTATTAAAAAAATTGTTAGATTTTGTAAAAGTGCAATAAATAAAAACCTTTTTCAAAACCAGCAAACGTTCGGTTATATGCCCATTTTAAACGATCTGCAGGCAGTGGATTAGCAGAAATAAAACATATTACCGCGTTTAACAAAATTAAAAAACGCATTTTAAATAAACAATTTGTTATTAACGCTACTTTGTTTAATTAAAAGTTTTTAACGACATTTTTTTCAAACAAATATTTTTATATGCTGCAAAAATTTTTTATCTATGACTTAAAAGTGCAAAGTGCAAAGCAATAATCTGCTTGTACACAATTTTAACTAAAGGAAATGCACATTTTTAGTGCTAAATTGAAAGTTTAATGGCTGATAATGCAAAACGTTTACATAACATTTACTGTTGCATAGTGATATTTTAACACTATGAATATTAAAAATATGTTTAAAACAATATCTAATTTTTCAAAACGTTAAAAATCGTTTTTGTGCAATTTACTTAAATTAAACTAAAAAAATAAACGGATTAAGCCAATTTTGATAAGTCAAAAATGTGTTAACCTGATAAGATATTAAAATGCTTAATCATTTCTTACACTTTAAGCGTTATAAATTGCAATTTATACGTTTTTGCAATAAAAAAATATTTAAATTAAAAATGAAATTGTTTTTTGTTTTTGTTTTATTTTTTACACAAGTTTGTTTTTATTTTTCAAATGGAAATCAATTAGAAAACAATGAAAACAAAAACAAATCAGTTTTTCAAAGTAAAGATGTTTATGAAATGCGATATGTATGTTATATTGTTATTGGAATTAATATTGTTGGTGGACTTATTTTCCTAGCTTTTGGGCGCAGTTTTGACCCAAAAAATAAAAGTGAATTTTCTAATAACAAGTTGACAAATGTTAAAGTTACTCAAATTGATGCAATGTAAATTTTATGTTTTGTTTTTTATTTAAATATGTGAATTTTTTAAAATAAAATTTTGTTTAAACAAAATGCTAAAAAATTGTTTTATAAACTAGCGAAAATATAATTTTGATATTTTTGCTCATTGTATAAGTTGATTTATTGAAATTTTTACAAACTGTGTTTAAAATTTATTTAGTTTTTGATTTTTGTTTGATTATAAACCAAAACATTTTTTTTGTTTTGCATGAAATATAAATCATGTTTTACCAAATAAAGGTAGTTTGGTTTAGTTATTTAGTATATACCCGGCTAGTTTACCAAAACTGTTACCTTTCTAGTGTTAATTAAATAAAAATTATAAAATGTGTTTTTGGTCACAGTATGTACTGTCAAACGTAATTTAACTTTAAACAGTTTGCGCATTATCTCGTTGATAAACAAAAGTTTTCCTGACATTAAAGCATATTGTAATGACAAAAAAAGGTTTTGAGCAAAACAAATTGTTATCAACGACGAAATACTGCTATCAAGTAAATTTCTAGTGTGTAATGTATACGGGTAACATGTAGCAAAACAAAT